AGGTCTGGATACGGAACTTCTTGTGATTTCTCTGGAATAAGGTCTCCTGGCCTTCGAAGCTCTTGATACACGTAACATATTTACTTGTATTTGACAATAAATCAGCAGATGATGATCGATTAATTCTTTTAAGAAATCTTTGCGTCTGCTTCGTTCAATTTACAGATTCGAAAGGAATATTCTAGAAGACATGCGCATACAAGAATTATCAAGATTTTTTAAGTACCGAGCCCGATGATTTATGACGTTCAATGTTATATACCTATATTATGAAACTAAGAGTTATGCGCAATGCGTGAAATGACTAAAATACTTGAAAAAATAGTAACATATAAAACATTAAGCTGAAAATAACCAGGTTTATCCATATTGGATAACATTATTATCATTTGTATCTGTCGCATATGCGTGCGCGCGCATGTGAATCTTTAAATGATATATAGTATATATCATTGTAATTTTTATATTCTTAAATGGAATCCGTCGACACTGAGCAAATAAAAAAAGTCTTACAGGAATAAGGCACAAAAAGGGATCTGGGGAGCGTTTGGGGAACATCTGTAACGGTCCCCGTTACAATTAGCACTAGTTTATTGTTGAAGTGTGGATTAAACACTGATGTGCGTACTACGAAAGCCCAGAAGGCTCATTCGAGATTCAAGTTTCGAAATACGAGATTCAAAATTCGAGATTCGAAATTCGAGTTTCGAGATTCAAGATCCAGATTAACCAATCAAAAGGCTCATTCGAGATTCGAGGTTCGAAATTCGAGATTCGAAATTCGAGTTTCGAGATTCAAAATCCAGATTAACCAATCAAATGCGGGTTCAACATTGATTACTCCCCTTTATTATGTTTTATCTATCAATAAATCGTTTAATATATTTATAACAAATGAGTCATTTGAATAAATTACAATGCAAGAAAGAGTGTTATATATATTAGAGAGAAAGTTATATAATCATTTGATTTTTGATCAGCAAGATATACTTCAATTTATATTATGACTTCTTAAATATTAAATAGAATACATAATCAGGAATATATATATTTTTGCATTGTCTACTATATATAAAGGTGTGTCACCTTTTTCAACAACTTTAGGTTTCGTTAACGTAATAATATATTAACATAATGAGCAATCATGACAACCTCCCAATTTAAGCAGTAAACTGTTCTGGATTAACCATGAATGGTTTTCTTAAAGGAGTTGTACACCATACGAGATAAATTAAAGAGACGAAAACATAATTTCATTTCACATTGAAATATATACACTTTTAAAAATAACTAGTTAAAGTCACTAAAAAGAAAAGTCAATTTACTGTCCATGCAATCACTATCTCAGAAGTAGTTTTACTAGGTATTGGGTAGATTTACTAGATAACATTAGTAAATCTAAAATTTATAAGTACCTTTCACTAGGTATCTAAGAATCTATACTATCCCCACTCCATTACTCACTACCTTAGCTAGTAAGCAGAAAGATTACTAATCATAAAAGTATATTTTTAAGGTATAGTTGGTTTTTGCTCCATATTTTTGGTGACTAAAAATGTATATTTTATATATGTAAACCCTGAGGATTAACTTTCAAAAAAATGGAGCCAAGACCAACTCATAATATTTGAGAAATTTTTGCAAATTGTAGAAATTTTACATAAATCATATTTTAATGTAATGTGAAATATCGATAGATATTTTGATGTAATTGATACTGAAGTTTTCTACCTTCATGTTTGTTATTCTATAGTCTTTTCGCTCTTCAGGTTCACTCATCTTCTTGTAAGATATTTTCTGCATTTTTAAACCATGAAATATATGAAATAACGAACAGTATTCAAACTCAAAAGTCCATTCTATAAAAAAGCAAATCAGGAGCTCTCAAAAAACCTTTTAAAAACTCTTAGTTTGGATCAGGTGCCATAAGGAGTGGTCATCCCTTGCCGACTGGTCACATCCACCATGTGTTCCTTTTAAAAAGACCTAGAATTGACAATTCCATATCTGTAACATTTTATAAAACCACACGTCATTAACGGCATCCTTCTTTAACAACGAGAGTACCTGCACAGTATAATGATGTCCTTGTGGGTTTCATCATGGAAAATATTAGTGATTCTATTATTATTAGCTTTTTCTTGTTTTAAACTTAGCTAAAAATACGTCTTCTTTTTCTATTGACATGCGTCACTGCCAACTGTTTTTCTTTCCAATCATAGATCTACTCAATTTTTTTTCCACTCACCAGTAGTTTACTTAATTATTTACACCCTTCTTAAGATGAAGAAAACAAACAGCGACCAATTTTAAAACTCAACAATTCCAGCATATAAACAGGGCATTAAACACAAACCCTCGGGTGTTCCAAAGTGGGAACAGGTGTTAAAAGAAGAAAACGTCCTCTGCTGATGGATCATAGAGGCTTGCTCCCGGCTTGACATAATTATTTTTTTTTAAAAATCATATACGGTTTTATTATTACCGTCTCTGAATTTTTAAAATTAATTATTATTACACGCCGGGAGCAAGCCCCTGTGGATTGATCAAACCCATTGGGAGCCTAACGTACACGTATTGATTAGGTTAGACATCATAAACGACCTTGGTCAATATTTAGGTTTCATATCATTAAAATGTTGATAATGACTCAAGGTAAAGCTGTAGCGTATTTTTATTCTTATTTAACAAGAAAAATAATTACAAAATAAACAGAACTACACAAAATATCCCCTAAAAGATTAGATTACATTCAGTGATATCTTCTTTTTTTTTCTTTTGCACGACATTCTGGGTATGTTTTACTTCCGGCTAACAAACTTCAGTCCTGATAATAAACCAAGACACAACCTTTAAATAGAGGCTTTGCTATATTGACAAAATAAATGTAATACATATTTATCGTATTTCAATAGTTATACCCATATTACCAAATAAATCTTCTTTATTGTTTACATTTCTATCTCTAGTATTTTTCTTTGAATGAAGTGAGTGAAGTATAATATTGCATATTTTTTGATGTTTTACACTGATGGAAGAGTCAACTTCTCAAGAAATTTTTCATGTAGAAGACTTTACGAGGGCTCTTCAATAAATGATGTCATCTGTGCTCGTAAAGAAACAAAAAACGCTTTTTTAATGAATTCCTTTATATATTCTCTTTTGATTAAAAGGCATGTCCGTAACATTTTTCTCAAATTCCTGATTGTTTTTTGAACACATTTTTGAGCATGGCCCTTCGTATAATGGAATATGGCAAATTAATTAAATAAATCATTATTTATTGAACAGCCTTCGTAAAAGTTTGACCCTGATCTTTTTTTAAAAAAAACTTCTTTTTTTTCTCTAGAACAAAACTTTTGAACAGACTTCCAGCGCCTTCATATTTCAAAGGCCTTCCTTCGGACACCAACAGTTTTGATCTCGACATTGGAATTTGACCTAATTTTGAACTTTGAACCTTGGCTATGATTTGTATACTATGGTGGCATATTTCTGCCCCCTACATGCAAGATAAATTATGTTAACATGCAAGAAAATTATGTCAACATGCAAGAAAATTATGTATACATACAGGATAATTATGTGGACATGCAAGTCACAAATCTTTTAAGGGAATCTGATTTAAATATGGGTAAAATCCCGTGCCGACGCCCGTATCTGACATCGTAGATGCAAGATGCAACATATGAGAAGATGCATGCGATTTACTTATGTCAACATGCGAGATTATTATGTTGACATGCAAGATATTTATGTCAACATGCGAGTTAATTATGTACACATGCAAGATATTTATGTCAACATGCGAGTTAATTATGTAGACATGCAATTTATTTATGTCAACATGCAAGATACTTATGTTAACATGCGAGATGCTTATGTTAACATGCGAGGTATTATGTAGACATGCAGGATATTTATGTTCACATGCAACTTATTAATGTCATCATGCAAGATAATAACTTGCATATCAACTAACATGTTGACATAATTATCTTGCATTTTGACATAAATAAGTTGCATGTTGACATAATTATCTTGCATGTTGACATAAATAAGTTGCATGTTGACATAATTATCTTGCATGTTAACATAAATAAGTTGCATGTTGACATAATTATCTTGCATGTTGACAAAAATAAGTCGCATGTTGACATAATTATCTTGCATGTTGACATAAAAAAGTCGCATGTCTACATAATTGTTGCATATTGCATCTAAAATGTCAGATACAGTCATTAGTAAATAAATTTATCCACATTTAAATTATATTTTCTTATAAGATTGGTAACTTGCATGTCAACATAATTAACTTGCATGTTGACATAAATATGTTGCATGTCTACATAATTATGTTGCATGTTAACATAATTTATCTTACATGTAGGGGGCAGAAATATGCCACCATGGTATGTACATACAGTTGGTGCTGGGACTTTTTTTGACATAGCCTACCCCTGGGTACCTTTTTCTTGACCCTTGACCGTGCGCTTGGAGTTTGACCTAATTTTTTAACAAAAATTACCTTGGTCATACCTGTTTAATGGTTAGTGCATGTGCTTTTATATTTTACAGGTATATTCACTGAGACAAGTCCCTTCTTTTTGAAGCAGCAATTTTCATCTCTTGACCTTGGAGTTTGCATTTGAGAAATATTAAACTTTACCAAAAGCCGCCATCCGGGGGCATCAAAGTTTCACAAAGACATCTTGTTGTCTACATGTATATAAATAGTATCATAACCATTCAAATCAATAGAAAGAGATGCATTTCCTCATCATATCAAATATCAATGAGTGTCGATAATATTTAACAGATAACGCCGGAAAAAGACTGTTTTTAAAAAATGTTTTTCGAGTAATTATATCTCCTTACATGCAAAGAATAGGGGGCTGCTATATCTGTCACTTGCCAAATACGTTCCTATCATGCCTGATAGTCTCATCCAAGATGTGCACAAACTTCCGGGTGGAAATCACCATTCCTGATAAAGTTGTCTTATTAAAAAGACGTGGAAGTTCACAAGATGAACAACGGTTTCTCTTCGTTTATCTTGTGTCTTTTATTTTGTTTGGCTGTGATGTTTATTTCTAATAGCTGCTGTATGGATGACAAATGCAGTTATTCTCGGACTGTTCGATGTGATATGCTAGCAAACTGCTCGGGATTAAAACAAACAGTGATTCCTTCATTTAACGAAAGTGTTACCTGCGTTGATTTATCAGAAAATCGGCTGCACTATGTCAACAGGTCTTCATTCTATGGTCTGAAAAACTTGACATTTATCGACTTATCTAGAAACGTGTTAAAAAAAATTGAAGAAGGTACGTTTAGCAATCTAGAAAACCTTAACTACTTAGATATTTCGTTTAACATAAATCTCGGATTAGCTGTTCTTCCGAACGTGACATTTGGATTAAACCAGACGAAGATCACGGTGTTTAAGTTTGAACAGATCACCTGTCCAGGTGGCAGAAGTAATATTCTTCGTCGACATCATTTAATTAATTTGGATAACACGTCAATTACGGAATTAAACATTGCAAGTAACCGTATTGAAATGTTTGAAACATGTGTCATATTCAATTTACCAAAAACAATTAAGAAACTTTCTGTTGCAGAAAATCGATTGATAGTTGGTAAATATGTTTTTGAATACTATTTGCTCTCTGGAGTTGAAATACTCAATGCAAGTTTAAGGAACACACCAGCTCGTTTCATAGATTCGATCACTAGATGTAAAGACAATGTTGATCCATTGAAGGACAAGACATATGACTACAGCTGTCACAAGAATCTCTCAATATCCTCAATATATGATGATCCTTTGATTTCTGTATCCCTTCCACCAAATCTACAAATTGTTTATGCAAATTCGAGCAAATTATACACTCGTGTGGCTAAATTTGAACTCAAGAAAAACAATCTAAGAGAAATTTATTTTCAAAACAATGTTATTCATTCATGGATTGGACCAATACAAGGCGTGGAGAATATAACTCTATTAGATATGTCGAAAAACTTTTGTTCCCAACTCTCAGATAACATTGCTGAACATCTTACTGGTTTACTGACACTCAAACTGGCTGAAAATTCCTTAGGCCCAATGTTTCAGTTCGATAGGAAAGGTAAAATACTTAGAAATCTACGTCGGCTTCAACATTTAGACATTTCCTTCAACAGAATACAAGCACTGCCGTTCTTGTTTATGAGAAATCTCAGTAGCCTTGTTTACTTAGATATTTCCCACAATCTACTATCCGACTGGAATATGAAAATGGGACACATGAAGAAATTATCAGTTCTTAACTTGTCGCAAAACAGATTGGGGACAATATCAAAACAAGGCATGGAAGAACTAAATAAGGTATTTGCTGTGGGCAACTTATCTGTCGACTTGAAAGACAACAGACTGATGTGTACATGTGATAATCTGGACTTTCTGGAATGGATGTTGAAATACAAAGAACATTTTAAAAATTACAAGACCTATAATTGTTCAAAGGCACGTCACAATACTTTTCAATTTCATGACTTATACGTGTCAGTAGAAAAACTGAAAAGGGATTGCAAATCTTACACCGCCTACTATATATTAGTATCTGTCACCCTTAGTTCACTGTTAAGTTTGGTTATTTGTATAGCTCTGTACAGAAATAGATGGAAAATTCGATACCTGAGGTATACATTGCTACAAAATCGTAATAGTGGATATCTTCGGCTCCAGACTTCCTCAGACACACGCTACCTCTACGATGCTTTTGTTTCCTATACTAGCAAAGACAGGGAATTCGTGGTTAAACACATGATACAAAACTTGGAACAACTCAATGGCTTTCAGCTTCTCATCCGGGATAGATCATTTATACCAGGAGAATCGAAATCCCTTCAGATAGTACGCTCGATTCAAGAGAGTAGAAAGACTGTATGCGTTGTCTCAAAAAGGTATCTCAAGTCTGCGTGGAGAGACTATGAACTTAACATGGCTCGGGTGGAAGGCGTAGAGGCCAGAAATACGTTGAGATATGTGATTCTTATCCTACTGCCAGAGGTGTACAACGGGGGATATCCCAAGAAGGTTTCAGATTTCTTGAAGAAAAACTGTTTTATAGAGTACCCGGATGATCCTGCTGGTTATGAGGAATTCTGGCAAAACATGTCCGACAGGTTGAGAGAATGTCTTCAGGAGTAAATTAACAGTCAGACATAATAAAACGAATTTAACTAACGTTCGGTCTTCAAACACTACACAGATTTTATGAACGAGGATCTCCAGTATTTTTATAATTTTAATTTAGAATTCTTGTGTAGGAAACAAATATTTTGAAACAAACCACTGTTTTAAATGGACATGACCGGTGAAAATGTGAAAATGTTCGAGTTTCATTTAAAAAGGAGTTAACTTTGAAGTCAAAAACCTATTTTTAATTATTTCATCGGATGGAATGTTGAAGAGTCTTATTTTTTTATGCTATTGATTTTGGAAAAGTTTGGTGATTTCATTTACCAAGATTACAAGTTACTTAGTATTTTGTAGAGTTTAAGAGTTGATATTTCATTTTTTTTACACTGCTTCTCAAAATAATATTAAAGTTCAAGCAGTACGCCTGATATTTCTCCTTGACGGCAGTTGATTTAAAATATATATAGGGGCTCGGTTGAACATTCACTGGACCCCGCAATGTATCTGTGTTTTTAAGGATTTCTATGAAGTTTTGGAACACAGTATATGTATTGTATAATTAAATAATTTTCTTTCAATTGAGAGTTAAAAGTGTTACATGTAAAATACACTAAAACATGTATTTTTACGTTGGATTTCATCATGTAGAATGAAAACCAGGTTCTCAAAAGTAAGCTGTAGCAGCCAATATTACAAAGATTATACTTTTGAAGCTTTGTCAATTAAAACTATTCCATACTTTCCACGCAATATTTCCAACTTTGGTGCAAAGGTAATGTAGACCTCATTGTGATGCAAATAAAACAATGTGCATGTTTGATTTTTTTTTTAATAGATAGCACAAGGAAAAATTATTGATGATATTCTCTACATCTATAAGGAAATTGTTTAGATTATCTACTCTCAGAGATAATCTGTATTTGTATCAAATTAATGAATTAATTGATTTTTATCAATAAATCTTGATTATAAAACAAAATGATCATTGAATTTGTTTTGTCTTTTTTTCCAAAATTATCTATCACAGTCGAAAGTTTTCACACTTCAAAAACGTACTACACAGATCATTTCTGTTTTTCCATGTAGCCTCCTACAGTAATATCTTTCTCGACACCGTATTTTAGATGTCCAATTTTACCTTCTTTTCCAGGTCCATCCTTTGATGTACCATTAACGTCATCCATTTCTGAGTCAGAATTTTCTAGAAGACTTTCAAGAATAATAGACTGCTTTTTTGTTGTGATGCAATTAGAAACACTGCTAGAACTGTTTTGACTGAAATTCTTCTCTTGTCGAATAACTTCCTTGAAATGTTCGGCTTCGTCTTTCTCACGCTTGAGATTGTCCTCTTGACTTACAGATTTGATAGGAGAGTATTTTGGGGACTGACAAATATTTGCATGCAATTTTTCATCAGATGGTTCGCTCAGTGTCTCCAACTTAAAGTCTTTCCGAAGAGGACTTTGGTTTGGGGTACTACAGAAATGAAACCCTCCCTGATCGCCTCTCTCATCTGGAATTGTTTCCAAGAAATCAAATTTCTTGTCCCCACAATAGTCCATAATTTCTCCGGTGGCAGTGGGCATTTTGTCTTCGGTGTAGACTGGCGGATTATTCGTGAATTTGGTTTCCATTTCGTTTCCTACATCCTCCTTTCTGGAATCCGTTTCCTCTTGAGAAGTGGTCGGACCGGAGGTAGATTCAGAATAATCCATCACTTCTGGTGTCTCTTTTACGATTTCCATATCTGGCATTTCAATTTTTATTGTCTCTATGGCAATCTCTGTCTCTTTTTCCAAATCGAATTCATTAAATACGCCACTTTGTTGAATGCTCGAAACAGACTCTGGGTATTCCAAAGGCGCCGTGCTTGATACATCGGAAGATGTCACTTCATTACTGAAAGTAAGAAACACATTTTAAAAATATATGCTTTCCATCTATATTTCCAATACTATAGACAAGAATACATCAAAGTTTATCTAAAATTTTGTACGGTTATTCAAACTTACTCTGTCATTTTGGACAACCATTTCGGCATGGAAGGCAGCATATGAATTGGCCATCCCAACTTTTTGGCAACATCCATATCTACCGGTATCATAACATAAGGTTGTCCATCTACAGAGAGATACTGGTCGATTCCTTTTCATAAATGAAAAAAATGAATATTTATCAACAGTATTTGTACATAGGCCTATTAGCCTTTTTACGGAACTGGAAACAATTAAAATTTTACCCATTTTAACTTCAGAAAAACTAGTCTGACAGCTAAATCAATGCAATTCAGTGCGTTATAAAAAGTATAAGTAACATAACTCTTAAAAATACAACTTTAGTACTATACTTAATGCACGATGTAGTTTATGTAAAAATGAAAATCATGCTGAGAAAAAGTGTCAAAGCAGACAGATTGCAAATATTTACTTCTCTTTATTCATGCCCTGGATTTATCTATATTTGATAGGCAAACTATTTAATTTAAAAAAAGATAAATAGTGAGCAATCTCAAAATAAGTGTGTAAAACAGTATAACCAAGTGGGACAGACTGACAGACACACGGACAGACGCAGAGGAAACCTACAGTACCATTCAGTTTCACAGGTTGGGGACATAAACCGATTCTTCTCCCACGCAAAGAAAACCCCTTGAAATACCAGGGGTGGGATCATATAAATATGATAAAGATGTGCAATTACAAATACAAGGAAATATGTGTTTATCAGACCTTCTTCAAAGGGAGCAATGGTGGGATTGATGTCGTCCAGATCATCACAGGCATCTTCCTCTTCTTCCTTGACATCCGGGTCAGAATCCAAACCCATCATATCAAACTCCACCTCGTCTCCATCTATCTGAATTTCATCTTCGTTCAAATTTATGTTCAGGAAAGGGTCGTGTTCGAGATATTCATCATCCGACATCTCAAAGTTCTCGAACGACTCTGTTGTAACCGGCTCGTAGCGGACAGTAATGGAGCCTGTTGTTACAGGGGAACACTTTATTTCTGAGTAGACGGATGTTTGATTTGGAATGGTCTGCTGGTACAGCTGGGGAGCCGCCTGTAGGTAGGAACCGTGGACATAGGGGTACTGCAGTCTCTGGAACTGCTGAGGATACATTCGTGGTAATAAGTTCACCGAAGGCGATGCAAATTGAAATTGGGCATAGTGATGTCCATTCCCAAGGATTCTGGGATGGTAATAACCGTTCCCGTTAAGTCCAGAAACACATGGTCCAATGCTGTAACTTTTACCATAACCATTGTGTCTCTCGATGTTTGGGAAAGTTATCGTGGTTTGTCCTGACTCGTCTACAATAAGAAGATCTGGGTTGTCCTCGCTGCGTTTGAAAACACCAATGTGTGGTGGAGCCTGCTTATGATACAGTCCACGCTCCATCATCTGGATCCGCTCCTTGTATGTGGGGTAGGTACGAATGAGAGGCCGGGGTGGCGGGGGTCTCTTTATTGGTGGAGGTCTCGGAGGTCGGGGACGTGGCTGATACTCTGAGGTTTGAGGTAATTTATAAGGAAGTTCATATCTTCTCCGCTTTGACTTCTGGATGAAGGGAGAGTCTATTAATTTCATTTCTCCGTTTGGTACTATTATACAATGCTCTGGTCTATCTGGGGCTTTTCGCTTTTGTTCCTCTTTCTGTCGTGTTTTCTTATCAGAATCTACAAAAATGGTTAAGAATCGTGAATTTTGTTCGAGCTTTCAATCCTTAAAATGTGAACAATTACTGTAATCGGCATCGTTATTTATAAGTATCTAAGCCTTATTAAAGCATATTAAACGGTACCCTGTCGTGTATACAGCTCCAGAGAACGACGATGGTATATCAATTTCTCATCTTCAGGAAGATCGTGCCAAGATTCTGCCAATCTGAAAAAAAATTAATGTACCAGTTTTATTACTACCAAACAATGTAGGACTTTCTTTTTAAAAACCGTACAGCAATGTGCATTGAATTTCTGTTATATATTGTGGTGCAGTTGACGTGCGACAATAACACTGTGTACTTTTGTACAAGCCTACTCTATCACTAACATATTATAACTGATTTGAAAAGTACAGTTTCTTTTTCTCCGGTCTTTCTGCCCTAACAAATAGATACTAGTATATTTTCTATGCAATACATTGTCCTACTGTCAATACTTTGATTTACCATGAAAAAAAAACTTATTTTTTACTTTGAGGCCTTAATCTACCTCTTTGGAAAAGTTTATAGAAGTTTTTGTGAGGAAACCTGTATTTCTTCAACAACAGTCTAATATAACTGTTACAGAATTTCGACAATATGATAATCTTGTTCTGTATACATACTTCGAACTCAGATCCACAGCCTTAATGCTCGGGTTTTCCATTTCCAAGCGAGGTCTCACATCATTTGCAAACAACATAAATGCACTAAGCGGTCTGGCGGCTGTTTCTTTCTTGTCGTCATTCCGATCTACGGAAGAAGTATTTTTTTTTTTTATAAAATTCTTTAAAAAAAAAATGTTTTGTACAGGCACTTGTAAGCCCCCCCCCCCCCCCCCCCCCCCCCCCCCCCTTTTTCCAAAACATACCTCTTTGTTATTGGAAATTTTCATTGATAAAAGACAGCATTAGGCTAATTGCTGCATTAAAGTCAAAAAAAGGCCTTTGTAGTAGTGTATGAGTAAAATTTGGTACAGCTGAAAGAAATCTGCCACCTATACACCCCACCCCTAATAATATTTTCGAGTTACGACAAAATCACTATGCCCCATACTGGCCATAGGGCCGTAACTCAAAAATCGGGGGTGTATAGTTTTCGACCTGTCCGTCCATCTAAACGTCTATTTATCCGCTATTGGTTTATTAACTATTTATTTCCTACAATGCAATAGCAGAAGACGAAGAATTCCGTCATGCATAGATCTCTTTGTTTTTCCGCTAGGGTTTGACGAAAGATACTATTTAGGGGTTATGCCATGTTTATTTTTCTATTTGCGATTGAATTATTCATCATTTGAAATATAAAATTATCTTTTATGACTGGAAATCTGTCTCTTTTTATTAATTATTTTGAAGGAAATGCACAGTGTACCCGTGTTCTCCTAGATCACATATCTACACTGTGATTGTGGACAAAGGTCAAGGATTGTGAATGGTCTTTATGGATATTTATAAGAACCCTTAGCCTGACTGATCCCAAAGTCATTATATAGTATGCACAAAAAAAAATATCATTTAATATTTATTTACCTTTACCATGTCTTTTCTTTATTGGTGGAGCTGGCATTATTTATCTTTTTGAAACTTGGCACCTTCCCTACTCCTAGGCAGACGATTACTACGTCATCAGTTTATGTGTATACATAAAAATAAACTATGATTTATAAGAACAGTCGTCAATATTCCGGATTTTTTTTTTCCAAGTTTGCCAGGAGACATTTATGGCATTTTTGCATTTTTTTTTTTTTTTACAGATTTCCACATTCCGTAATGCTTCTTAAAAATGTCATGAATTTTTATATCTTTCAACAGTAGACATACATGTACAAGTCAGATGTTCCCACATTTTCAAATAGAATTTTTTTCAGTAAAAATTCTGTAATTTTTTGTTTTTAAAAAAGATCTTTCTCTGAGCAAACAATAAAAAAAAATGATATTTTGTGTCCTATAGTACACTTTCTATGGATATTTCGTTAATTAGTTATATTTTCAATTAATTGTGATACATGTATATATTGTAATAACATTTTTAAATAGTGTGCATCAAGCACAATATGATGAGTTTAAATCCAGACTATAACTCATGTATCATCTCAGTCCTTTTCTGGACTTCTAGGCTGTCTGAGAAATTACGAAAAATAGTGCATCTTTTGGTGTCATCTACAAGCATCCTTAGTCATTTGGGACTATGTAAATGGATCAAAAGGCATTAATTAATACACTACTAAAATTTAATGTCGGTTTCAAAAATTCCATATAATGTGCGCCACGAACACCGAGTCTACACGTGGTCGTAGGACCCCTAATAAACTTCATTTGATTCTCGACGAGCTGATCATTCTTTCGCAAAAAGTCATAAATTGTTAAAGATCCAAAGTTATCCAAACAGCTCGATCCATCCGCATGGCCGTACCATTATACATGAACAGGGTGTCACAGAAAATATTATATCATTTCATATTCCATACGTTTTCTGTATATGGAGAAAATTATTGGGAGCACAACCTACGTGCCCCCCCCCCCCCGGTTCTTACGGCCATTTATTTTCTAAATTCCTATCGGATTTATCCTTTAAGGAACATCGGTGACCAAAGATCCGAACTCATCATCCGATGGATCATACACAAAGTCAATATTTAATCAAAACTACTTTCTCCGTGATCAAAAAGCAGGCAAGTAGAATTGATATCGTTTTGAAAAGGAAGGCGGCTGTCGGGAAAAAATATAATGGTTTGGGCTATATAATATAAATATTGCGACCTAGGTATCTCGGTCTTGTTTTTTTTCCGACTGAACCCCTTCCTTTTAAAGAACGATCAATTCTATTAAATGCAATGCCGCTGATTTTTCTTAATAAAAGACATCAAGATATAGATGAAACCATCTTTAAAAAGTGTTTATTTGCTTTCTCCCAAATGAGAGACTAAAAACTGCCTCCGACTCAAAATAAGGAAACAATTATTTTATTGTTATCAAAGTTTTCTCTTACCATTTTAAGCTTCATATTTGCATGTAATTTTGAATGAGAAATTAAATCCTATTTTGTCTTAAAATCCCAAGTCGGGAGAAGGCAAGCAAACATTTTTTTAAAAGATGACCTACATGTATTTATAAATGCATCGAAATGAAACAAGATATATCCATGAACTTTGGATACTTCTCTAGATATTCTCAAATAGACTTTTTCCTTTGTAATGGGAAGTCTTTCTGATTCAATCTTGAATTGTGACCCCCAGTGAAGGTTGCTTCTCAAGAAGTTAATGATTATATCAACCTTGACCTCTCTGAAATGACCCTGAGAAGACAGTACTTGACAAATATGTGACCAATCTTATAATATAGTATAATGAATTCCAGTCTTTCACGTAGAATGCCTTCTTGGGCCTTCACAGATAAGTTGGCATCTGAGCTCTTGGAATTATTTTGACTTGAGCTTAATACATGAACTCCTTATGCATTTATACAGATTACATGAACTATTTTGAATTTATAGTTCAAACAATTTTATGAACTAAAATTTACAGAGTCTGAGAAAATTGTTTTGGCTTTATATTGGATAAATATACAACGAATGCAAAAAAATTCCATCAGAGCCCTTGGAGTCCTCTTAAAAACACCTCAAAGACATCTTATACAATACTTTTCATTGAAAAAAGAATATGAACTCTTGGCATAAAGTCAAAAAATCTATTCTGTAAAATGCATAACAAAAATCATGTGATGAAGAAACTGCAGCTGGATGAATTCATTATTTCTCTTTACTTTCGTTTAGGGGATCGGGACCTGTAAAATAAGAAAATTTCCTGTGAACACTAAATAGCTACCAATTCTTTTTTAAAAATCCTTAATGTTCTTTACTTTGCAAGGAAAAAATCTACATATTTGTATATAGAAAAAATACAACACTTAAAAACCAACTCTGCATTAGCTGAGAAAAAAAGCACCAACAGTGGACATAAGAAAATTAAGATGAGGTTTTCCCACCTTGAGCTGGAGTCAGACCTGTGTCTCGACTTCTTACCGCCACCAGACTTTTTGTGACTGCTGGATCTGGTTTCTTCAGAGGGACTCCTTGAGCGATTCCTTCCAGACTTTTTGTGCTTGCTCTTTGATCGATCCTCACTGTCTGAATGTGACCTTGACCTTCTCCTTTTCTTGGACTTGGATTTGCTACTTTTAGAGTCCAAAGAGCGACGTGACGGTTCCTTTTCATCATCCTGGTATTTGTCACTACGCCTACGACTATCCTTCCCCCTTGACCTACTTCTACTTCTCCTCCTATCCCGTGACCTACTTCTACTATGCCTCCTTTCCCTCGACCTACTTCTGCTTCTCCTCCTTTCCCTTGACCTACTTCTATGCCTTTTTTCCCTTTCCCTACTAGTGCTCCTATCATGCTTCCCCCTATCCCTTGACCTATTTCTATGCCTCTCCCTTGACCTTGACCTGCTTCTACTTCTCTTTGACTTCTTTTTTTCAGACTCACGCTCCCTACTATCACTTCTGTCGCGAGACACACGAGAACTGTCTTTGCGTGAATCTCTCCTCTTTTTACTCTTTTCGTCTTTGCTACTCTGCCTATCATAATCCCTACTATAGCTTCTCTCTAACTCCTCCCCTTTACTTTTCCTCCTCTCCTTTTCCTTAACATGATCAGATTCTCTGTCTTTATGTTTATCTGACTTACTGCTACTCTTATCCCGACTCTTACCCCCTTTTCCTGACACTTTAGATGAAGACCCCCCTGACCCCTTTTTCTTTTTCCTACTTTTCTTTCTTTTCTCACTGACAGAACTGTCAGAGTCACTAGAGGAACTGGAAGAACTAGAGGAACTATTAGAACTGTCAGAATCCGAATCACTAGAACTCCCGGTGGAACTAGAACTACTGCTTGAGGAAGTCCTACTTTTCTTAACTCTTTTAACTTTATCTTTTGTACGCTCAACTTTTACTTTTGAATCTTTTGACTGAGTTTTGGTTTCAGTGCTATTTTCAGCTTCGGATTTCACATCCAGTCCAGGAATTCCATTATATTTGTTTTGAAAAGGGTAGCTGTGCTTGTCTGAAATTGGGTCTTTAAAAATTTTTGGTGCTTCTGGTTCTGAAAGTTTAATTTTGATCATATATCAATTATATGCATACATAAAAGCCATGATAACATGATCTCCAAAGACATGTGTGTTAAAACATACTATAAAACATTCGTGTTAAAACGTACTTAAAAACCTTCGTGTTAAAACGTACTAAAAAACCTTCAAGTTACCTAATTCATCTTCATCATAAATGCCCTGCTCTTTAATTTTGCGTTCGAATGCCTCCTTCTTTTGTCGGATCCGCTCCTCAAGATCCTCGTCTGAGTCTGGCTCCTCTTCTTCCTCCTCCTCCTCCTCCTCACTGTCACTGCCGTAGCCTGCCAGTCCTACAACATCACTAGACTATCACACAACAGTAGAAATAACAGGCTCAGTTACTATAAGAATTACTGATTATTTATACCTCTAATACTATCAATGTCTACTTATATGGCCATTATGTTGAAAAATCTCAAAGCTTACTACTGCATCATAATGATTATTAATATAGATTTTGGACAAAATACTCTGTGATATGATTACTTTCCTTTAGGAATGTTACCTGTAAAATCACTTATTTTAAAGGATAAAAATTTGGTGGTACTGGGGAAAGTAGGGATTTGATTTTGTGGTTGGAGAAGTGTAGAATTGTCCTAGTTTAAAATGCTAGCACTTTGTCGTGGACTGAAATTTGATGGTCTCTAAATATGAATTAACACTCATGAAATTTTATGATTTTACAATAATTGATATAGATGGATATTCTTCATCATTTATTTGATAATACCATATTTTGCATCACATTCTTTTCAACCTCAAATTAAGACATAAGGAATAGATATTACAATTTTCTTTTGAAATTGTTTTGACTTCTCTCTGTTGGATGAAAATAATTTATAGCAACTGAAACCTTAAGTTTCTATTTCAAGACATGCTCTGTAACTCAAAACTTTTTTAAAGAAATGCTTAAATCCTATGATAGGGCACTGAACAATTAATTGATTCTGAAATCAAGGAATAAATGGAAAAAATACTACCTGCCTGAGATTTGCAGTTTTTAGCAATCAATTTGCTTTACAAGGTAGGGCAATTGATTGTCTATCACTTTCAAGCAATAAATAAAATCAGCAGTTACTTACCCAAGCCAGTCAAAGATGCTAAAGCAGTAGACTTGGTGAGCTGCTTTGCTGGAGCTTTTTGTACAATTATACAAACATGATTAGTTCCTCGTCATAAAACACAATATCTATACAATTTAAGAGGCTGGATAGGGGAATTATCTCCCCTTACAAGTTCTCTCTGAGCTGTGAAAATAATCTGAATTATTTCACCTGAAAGACAAAATAATTAGGACACCTAGGCTAGGATTTTTTTTTTATTGTGAATGAAATTTCTGTTTCTTTGAAGGAAACAAATTTATATTTCCTTGTTGCAAATTGAAACTGAACATTTACTCAAGCCAAAAAGTTTGCAAGATTCTAGATTTCATAACTCCATGCTGAAATTTACACCTAGCCCAGATGTAAACAGTGAATTTTTGCAGAATACATTTGCA